ATCAGAGGAATTAGAGTTATCAGAGTTATCAGTTGCATCAGGATCCGAATCAGAGTTATCAGAAGAATCAGAGTTGTTAGAAGAGTCAGAGTTATCAGAGTTATCAGAATCATCAGAGTTATCGGAATTATCAGAGTTATCAGAGTTATCAGTGGCATCAGGATCCGAATCAGAGTTATCAGAGAAATCAGAGTTATCAGGGTTATCAGAGGAATTAGAGTTATCAGAGTTATCAGTTGCATCAGGATCCGAATCAGAGTTATCAGAAGAATCAGAGTTGTCAGAAGAGTCAGAGTTATCAGAGTTATCAGAAGAGTCAGAGTTATCAGAGTTATCAGAAGAGTCAGAGTTATCAGAGTTATCAGAGTTATCAGGGTTATCATAATTATCAGAGTTGTCAATGGCATCAGGATTCGAATCAGAAATATCAGAGTTATCAGTGGTATCAGGATCAGAATCAGGATCAGTGATCTCATGATGAGCCACTTTGGGTGCTTTTGAACCATGATTTGGTTTATGCTGAACCACGTTGTTGTGTGCTCTTGAACCATGATTTGGTTTATGATGAACCACATTGTTGTGTGCTTTTGAACCAGAATTGTGTTTATGATGAACCGCGTTGTGTGCATTTGAACCAGATTTTTGTTTATTATGAACCGCTTTGTGTGCTTTTGAACCAGATTTTTGTTTATTATGAACCGCTTTGTGTGCTTTTGAACCAGATTTTTGTTTATGATGAACCGCTTTGGATTCAGTGGGCTCAGGTTCAAGATCAGTGACCTCAGGATCCGGATCTGTACCGGTGGTATCAGTGGTAGCAGGATCTGAACCAAGATCAGTAATTGTTGGATTCGAACTGGAATCTGTAACTGTAGGATCTAATGATGGATTTGCAATCGTGGTGGTATGTGGGCTTGTAATTTTATTTTCTGCAATTACTGGAACATTGGTGGTGGCTCTTGAAGATGTGGCAGTTACAGGACTTGTAGCACTAGCTTTTGTGGCGGCTATGGTAGTTATCGGACCTCCGGTGGTAGCTGCGGTAGCAATTACTGGATCAGTAGCACTTGTGACAGTAGCAGCAATTACTGAATCAGTAACAATTGTGGCAGTTACTGGATCTGTAGTAGAAATTATTGTGGCGGCTGTGGTAATTACTGAATCTACGGTGGTAGCTTCAGCAGAAATTACTGGATTAGTAGCTATTGTGGCAGTTGCTGGATTTGCAGTAGATCCTACAACCATTGTAGGAGCTTTTTTTGCAGTTGTGGCATCAGCAACGGTTACTGGGCTTCCGGTGGTAGCTGTATAGGCAATTATTGGATTAGTAGCAACCGCGTCGGTTACTAGGTTTACAGGAGTTACTGGATTAGTAGTAAATGTAGCAGCTATTGTGGTATCCGTAGTAGTTACTGGACCTCCGGTGGTAACAGCATCAGCAATTATTGGCTCAGTAGGCTCAGTAGCAATCGCAGCAGCTACTGGATTTGTGGTAGTCACTGGATCAGTAGCAGTAGCAGTTGTTGGATTTGTAGTAGCTATTGTGTCATCTTTGGTAGTTGCTGAGGTTCCGGTGGTAGCTGTGGCAGCAATTATTGGATCAGTAGTAGTCGTGGCAGCTATCGGATTTGCAGTAGTTACTGGATCAGTAGCAACTGTGGCAGTTACTGGATTTATAGTATCTATTGTGGCATCTGTAGTAGTTACTGAACCTTTGGTGGAAACAGCAGCAATCGTAACAGCTGCTGAATTAGCAGTAGTTACTGCCGTGGCAGCAATTGGATTTGCATTAGTTATTGTGGAATCTTTAGTAGTTAATGGACTCTCGTTGGTGGTAGTAGCAGCAGTCGTGGCAGCTACTGGATTTGCAGTAGTTACTGGATCAGCAGCAATTGTGGCAGTTACAGGGTTTACGGTATCAGTAACAATTGTAGCTATTACGTCATCTTTTGTAGTTATTGGAACTTCTGCAGCAATTATTGGATTAGTAGCAGTCGTGGCTGTTACTGGATTTGCAGTAATTACTGGATCATTAGCAATTGCGGCATCTGTGGTAGTAGTAATCGTGGCAGTTACTGGATTTGTGGTATCAGTAGCAATTGTTGCAGCTACTGGATTTGCATTGGCTATAGTGGCATCTGTAGCAGTTACTAGACCTTCGGTGGTAGCAGCAGTAACAATTATTGGATCAGTAACAATCGTGGTAGTCACTGGATTTGCAGTAGTTATTGGATCAACAGCAGTTGTGGTAGTTACTGGATTTGCGATATCAGTAACAACTGTGGCAGTTACTGGATTTGTAGTAGTAGCAATCGTAGCAGCTACTGGATTTGCGGTATCAGTAGCAATTGTAGCAGCTACAGGATTTGCATTGGCTATAGTGGCATCTGTAGTAGTTGCTGGACTTTCCGTAGTAGCAGCAGTAGCAATTATTGGATCAGCAGCAACCGTGGCAGTCACTCGATTTGCAGTATCAGCAGCAATTGTAGCATGTGTAGTAGTTACTGGACCTTCAGTGGTAGCTGAAGCAGCAATTATTGGGATTATTGGATCAGTAGCAATCGTGGCAGTCACTGGAATTGCGGTAGTTACTGGATCAGCAATTACTGGATTTGTAGTAGCTATTGTGTCATCTTTAGTAGTTATTGGAGCTTCGGTGGTAGCTGCGGCAGCAATTATTGGATCAGTAGCAGTTGTGGCAGCTACTGGATTTTCAGTAGTCACTGGAGCAGTATCAATTGTTGCAGTTGCTGGATTTGCGGTATCAGCAGCAATTGTGTCACCTTTGGTAGTTACTGGAGCTTCGGTGGTAGCTGCAGCAGCAAATATTGGATCAGTTGCAGTTGTGGCAGCAGTAGTTACTGGAGCAGTATCAATTGTTGTAGTTGCTGGATTTGTGGTATCAACAGCAATTGTGGCATCTATAATAGTTACTGGAGCTTCGGTGGTAGCAGTAGTAGCAGTTATTGGCCCAGTAGCAAATGTGGCAGTCACTGTATTTGCGGTAGTTACTGGATCAGCAATTACTGGATTTGTAGTAGGCATTGTGTTATCTTTGGTAGTTACTAGAGCTTCGGTGGTAGCTGCGGCAACTATTATTGGATCAGTAGCAGTTGTGGCTTCTACTGGATTTGCTGTAGTTACTGGATCAGTAGGAATCGTGGCAGTCACTGTATCAGCAGCAACTGTGGCAGTTGTAGAACTTGCGATATCAGTAGCAATTGTGGCAGTTATTGGATTTGTAGTATCTATTGTGGCGTCTATAGTAGTTATTGAACCCGTTTTTCCATTTTGTTTTTTTGATGTTGCTGATGGTCTTTCTGTGGCAGTATTTACCGGATCACTGGCCGTGGTAATTATTAGATTAGTAGTTACTGAACCAGGTTTTCCGTTCTGTTTTTTTGTTGTCGTAGATGGTATTTCTGCGACTGCGATTACTGGATCACCGGTAGCGGTAGTTACTGGATTAGTGTCGATAGTTGTTACTGAACCAGCTTTTCCGTTTTGTTTTTTTGTTGTTGTAGATGGTATTTCCGTATCAGTAACTACCGGAACACTGGCGCCAGTAGTTATTGGATTGGAATTAATAGTTGTTACTGAACTAACTTTTCCGTTTTGTTTTTTTGTTGTGGTAGCTACTGGATTTGTGTTATCTTTGGTAGTTACTGGAGCTTCAGTAGTAGCTGTGGCAGCAATTATTGAATTAGTGGCAGCCGTGGTAGCTACTGGATTTGCAGTAGTTACTGGATTAGTATCAATTGTGGCAGTTACTGGATTTGTAGTAGTCATAGTGTCATCTTTGGAAGTTACTGAAGCTTCGGTGGTAGCAATGGCAGCAATTATTTGATCAATAGCAGTTGTGGCCGCTAATGGATTTGCAGTAGTCACTGGAGCAGTATCAATTGTTGTAGTTGCTGGATTTGCAGCATCAGCAGCAATTGTAGCAGTTGCTGGATTTGCGGTATCAGCAACAATTGTGGCATCTGTAGTAGTTACTGGAGCTTCGGTGGTAGTACCAGCAGCAATTATTGAATCAGTAGCAATCGAGGCAGTCACTGTATTTGCGGTAGTTACTGGATCAGTAGCAATTGTGGCAATTACTGGATTTGTAGTAGGTATTGTGTCATCTTTAGTAGTTACTGGAGCTTCAGTGGTAGCTGCGGCAGCAAATATTGGATCAGTGGCAGCTACTGGATTTGCAGTAGTTACTGGAGCATTATCAATTGTTGTAGTTGCTGAATTTGCTGTATCAGCAGCAATTGTGTCACTTTTGGTAGTTACTGGAGCTTCGGTGATAGCTGCGGCAGCAATTATTGGATCAGTTGCAACTGTGGCAGCAGTAGTTACTGGAGCAGTATCAATTGTTGCAGTTACTGGATTTGCAGTATCAGCAGCAATTGTGGCATCTGTAGTGACTGGAGCTTCGGTGGTAGCGGCAGCAATTATTGAATCAGTAGCAATCGAGGCAGTCACTGTATTTGCGGTAGTTACTGGATCAGTAGCAATTGTGGC